CCTAGGACCTGTCTGCCATGGGTGACCCTACCAGGGGCATAAAGCCCCAGACAGCATAGCTCCTAGGATCATTGGGACACTCAAACCCCTCCACCACGATAAGGTAGCAGCCCAAGGAGAGGGCAAATGAAAAAAACAATGAAACAATGTTAAAAAACAATGAAATTACACAAATCAAAAATCAAAATAAAATGAAAGGTAGCAGAAGAATAAATCTTATATCTGCCCCTTTTATCATCAGAGTATATTGTACAAAAAATTAACATAAAATAATTCAATTAAATTCAAAAAATGTATTCATTTCATTAAAAAAATAACTATATATAACAAAAAACAATGAAATTACACAAATGAAAAATGTAAATAAAATGAAAGGTAGCAGAAGAATAAATCTTATAAAGTCTGCCCCTTTTAACCCCAGAATATATTCAAATAAAACATAATTTACAAAACAATACTAAATAAAAGTAAAAACATCAACTCAAACATTAATTCAAATAGCTTCTCATCTTACTTTTCCATGTACCTTTAACGAACTAACTTTTATCTGTCTCTTAAATATATACATAGATCTGGCATTTTTAAGTTCATCCTCCAGACCATTCCACAATCCTATACCCTGGATTAAATTATACCCTGGATTAAATTATACCCTGGATTAAAGTACATCTTTCTCTCACAAGTACGAATATATGGCTTCACAAACATTTCCATCCCCTTAAGATAATAAAAACTGTCTCTCTTAACAAAATTTACCTGAATGTTGGAAGGTAATATGTTCCTGTGAGCCTTGTACATAAACAGTAAAATATYGTAGTCAACCAAATCACAGAATTTCTAAATTTTCAGTTTGCAAAATAACATATTTGATGGATGGTTGTAATCTTTTCTAGCGATAATTCTTATGTAATTCTTAAACAATTTGCAGAAAAAAAATATAACTTTATGCATAAAGTACTGTCAGTCCTGAAACATTGAAAACATATTAGAAATGACTCTCAGCTATTACTAGAGAAAATCTGAGCTTAATAGCTGTGAAAACGATTGCGCTGAAGCTATTTTTGTTTTGGCTCTGGCAGCCATCTTGAATTGAGTTGTCTCCAAAAGTTAATCGGTTGTAGACATACTATCAATGATAACTTTTTGAGAGTCTAATTAAAACCTGTCTAACTATTTGTGAGATATTCTGCTAACAGACAGACTGTATTGACTCCAACATTTAAAGCCAAAGTTTTAAACAAAGATTTTTGTTGTCTGTTAGTGCTCAAAGTATGTGTTTCTGATGACTCTCGTTTACTACCACACCAAATTCTAGTAAAATATCTGTGCAACTGACTGAGTTAAAGCCATTTTTGCATTTTGCTGAGGGTGATCAGCTGTGGCAGCCATCTTAAATTGAGGTGACTCCAAAACGTATTCAGTTGTTGGTGTGCATTTTATGGTTAATTTCTGAGCATTTCAGTAAAATACATTTTACAGTTCATGAGATATTTTGCTAACAGACAAATGAGCACACATAAATGTATGATTACCTACTGATCAAGGTAACAGGCTCAATGGTTATGTAAAACAAAAATTTAAAGGGATTCCCGATTAGTTGTAACATTAGACTTTATTTGATAAACATATACTTTAAAATAAAGACTGTAAAATACTGTAGGCTGTTTAGTTTTTTTTTACATTTTTAAAATATATTTTAACACGGGCGGAGCCATTTTATTTACATGCAAAGCATTCTGGGTAAATGATGACATGTGTAGGTCATCGGTGCGAAGCTGCTAGYGAGCTATATCCACCCTGAAGGTTAATCTTGGACAATATCTGATGATCGACTCTTTTAAATGAAACCAGAGAGCGTTGACAGAGAGGAGAAGGTAGAAATGACTCAGCCTGTAACTGAAAATATAGATGGAGGACAACAGAGCTGCTTCATGGAAGAAGAACCTCAGCTTAGCCTGTTAGCCTTTGTGCTAGCACTGATGCTATATTGCCATATACGTATGCATTATCTCGGTGCTAGCGCAACAAACAAGCTAAACTGAGGTCCTCCATCCATATTTTCAGTTCCAGGCTGAGTCATTTCTACCTTCTCCTCTCTGTCAACGCTCTCTGGTTTCATTTAAAAGAGTCGATCATCAGATATTGTCCAAGATTAACCTTCAGGGTGGATATAGCTCGCTAGCAGCCTCGCACTGATGACCTACTCACGTCATCATTTACCCAGAATGCTTTGCATGTAAATAAAATGGCTCCGTCCGTGTACTATACATATTTTTAAACTTTTAGTTTAAAAATTATAAAAGCTAAACATCCTACAGTATTTTTACAGTCTTTATTTTACAGTTAAATATATATGTTTATTAAAYAAAGTCTAATGTTACAACTAATCGTGGATCCCTTAAAAAATACAATATAACATGCAAATAGCGTTGGGGTGGCCACTGGGGAGGCAAAGATTATTCTGTGGCGGCCATGGACACCCCTGGCTCCACCTCTGCTGAGYCAGTTTAAATTCAAATTAATTTTCAGTAGTTAAATAGTAAAAACAAAAACACAACTCCACATACCCAGAGTTTTGAATGTAGTCTGCAATTTTAGCAATAAAATTCTGATTTCAAAACCATGCAGGTCTTTGACTTTCCCACAAAACACAGATTTATCACGTTCTCCGTTTAAAACTCTGAGAAGTGTTTAAACATCTGACCGATTCTTCAGCTCAGTTCTGACCTGAYGATGGCTGGATCTGCTGCAGGAGGTTCCTCACAGAGGTCTTCTTCTCCTGGGCGGTGGAGCTGAGGTTCTCCTGATCCAGCATCTTCAGCAGCACACCCAGCTCACTCACCAGCACCTCCATGGCTGCACAGAGGGGGGGGGGAACGACGACAAAAGGTCATGATGGGCTTTAGTTTTATAAACAGAAAGGTCAAAAGTCAGACATACAAGTCTAAACAAAGCTCCAATATACGTCCGAGAGCTCTTAAGCGCTTTGCTCCTCTTTCATTTTGTCCTCTTACACCACGGACTGCCAATAACCATCTCATTACAAAGTCCCTCCACCCCCCAGTCAAACCAGACTAAACAAGAAAAGGAAGCTTTAGCAGCTGGAAAACAACATGCTAACTGCTAATTAACTCAAGATGATTTTTTTTTACATCAGGAGTTGAAACATTTAGCTTTCAAATGCTAAAAATTATGACAAGAAGGGAAAAAGTTACAGTTATTTTAGTCAAATCTTGTAAAAGATATGGCAGTCTCGCAAAGATTTGTTGTTTGTGTGGTCAAAGTGTGTGTTGTGATACAGTCTCAGCTACTGCCACTCTAAATTTTAGTTTAATATCTATGACGTTGACTGAGTTACAGGTATTTTCATGTGATGGAGACAATCTTGAATTGAATCGAGTCCAAAAGTTGATCAGTAGTAGATGTATGTGTTCAGTGATGATTTTCTGAGTTATTAAAATATGCCCAGGGGTTCATGAAATGTTTTGCTAACATGGGAGGATGCATTGACTACAATAGTTAATAGCAAAGTTTTGTGAATGGATCTCACATCAGTGAATTTTCAGAATAAAAGTCGTAACCACACCAAGTCCTATATCTGTAAAATTGAATGAGTTGTTTTTTTATGTTTGCTAAGCTGTGGCTGCCATTTTAGTACCGGATTGACTCCCAAAGTTAACCAATTGTAGATGAATTTCTAATTAATACTTTCTGTGATGTTAAACAAACATCATCAAGGGGTTCAATTAGATAATTTGCTAATGAGACAGACTAACAAACACACATAGACACACAGAGTCTAAAAATTCATTGCTCTTTCATCTTTGCTAATTAAAAAAATGGCATGGGAAAAATACCTGAAGGATCACTATAACAAAGCCCAGAGCAAATTGGCAAATTGAATATTTCTTCCTGAGAACCTGATCTCTAACAGTTGGAGGGTTTAAAGTTCATGGATACACAAAATATCTGGCTCCAGTTGGATTTCATGGAACACCATCAGTTCTATAATTCTGGAGACTGAGCTGATAAGAAGATCTGATTCACATCATGTGTTGACCTGAGAGATGGAACTAGTCCACTTGCAACTTTTTAAGAGAAAAACATAAACAAACCACTCGTTTGCCCCCCGTGGCTGCATTTGTTTGGGAAAGCATTGTGCTGGATGTGGTGGTCCAGATTCTTTCTTTAAGTCATGTTCAACTACCAAGAGCCACCAGGTGAAAACTTTTCCTTTGTGCAAAATCGCTGCCTTCCCACGTGCATACTTCTGCCTCTTTAATCCAACACAATCCTTTATAAGACTTTGCTCACACCACCCTCCCTAACCTTTCACTCCTAACATCTCTTCCTCTAACTCACTCCTCAAATCACTCCGTTTTTCACAGACCGGGAGAATTAGAGCTGCTGAACCGTGCATCTTGCTAGGGTCAAACATGGGACAGCCGCTGAGCCAGAACACTATTTTTTGTTCACCGAGCGGTCATTTGGCTACAAGAACTGTTACACAGAACACACACACACACACACACACACACACACACACACGCTCATACTGTGTATTTAGTAAGGAGTGTCAACAGCTTTGGGCCATGACTTTACGAAAGGCATTCCAGAGACCAATACGTTTCCTTGTCTGCAGGTTTTAAAAACAAATATGTTCGGGCAGAAATTTAGGACTAGTTAAGCAAAAATGATCTTGCAGGACGCGTCAAACTTAAGCCTCAAAGATGTATTAATGTCTTAGAATAAGCCTATGCTGCTTTAAAGTCAGCACTGACCGTAAAAACTACATCTCCCATAATGCATGTTGGTTATTTTACCAGCAAAATGACAGCATCCCACCACTAAGTGGAGGTGCACAGGGTTCCAAAGTAGGCAGCAGCTGAGAAAATTTGCCATGTAAAATCTCCTTTTCACTCCCTTTTTCCACAGTTGCTCCCACTGCGGCGCAGTTGTACTAGGAAGTGGGAATTTCCCACTTACACATCTTAAATTTAAAGTGGAACAACTCCTAAAATGGGAATTTTTTTTTATCAGAAAGTGGGATAGTTCAGAATTCAAGATGGCAGCTACTCACTAGAGCTCGGTGAGTAGAACTCTCTTACCTTTACCTTTAGTAGTCGTTCTGAATTCATGTCACATGTACTTAGTCGTACACATAGTACTATTCAGTGTTTAAAAGAAGACAGGTTAAAACGCTGTTCCTTTGCAGAAAATACCACATAGAGCTCAGTTGTTTGTTAGCGGTGCTCAGCCCTGAGACAAGCAATGCTACATTTTGTGTTTAATTCAAATTCAATTCAAAAATACTTTATTCATCCCAGAGGGAAATTAGGTTTAGTTGAAGCGCAACGTTCAAATTTATTACAACTGGCCCTTTGAGGGCTGCCATAATTCTCAGTGGTTCTTGGTGAAAATGAGTCTGACTCCCATGTTGTCAGCAATCATCACTAATAAGTATGCAGTCTCAGTCCGCACCACTCAGGATTATTTTATTCATTCATTTTTTGCTAATTATAATTATTTTCCAGAAATAATCACACACTTTAAATTTGTTGACAAAGTAAATGTTTATATAATAGTATTTCTACAAACCGTCAACACTTTTGGGAATGGAGACGTTTTAAGATTGCAGCCACACAACTTGGTCTTATTCAAAAAATCTGCAGCAGGTAAGATACTAATTAATCATAGCCTAGTGCTGGGCAGTATACCATTTTGTACCGAATACCGGTTTTTATTTTTGTTATATGAATTTTTTGAATACTGGACATTCCGGTTGAAATAGCGGAACGTTTCGTCGCGGCCGCCAGTGAACTGTTGTTTCCCGGGGGACATTTTTCCTTGCTGCACCGCTATGAGCGTTAGCATGCTAATGTTTGGAACAGCTAGTTGCAGCCGTGGGTGGCGATTCTGCTGCTTATACTGACTGATGTTTAAAAAAACATCCCGTTTTCACCATCGCTGAATGTAGTAAACACCTCTTCAGTGACGTGCACAGTTATGCTGCGGGGTGGGGGGGGTGGGGGGGGTGCGGACATGAAAGCACCCGCTGAGCAGCAGGAGGAGAGGAGAGCGGAAAAAGTTCAAAACATATTTCTAGCAGCAGAACAGGTTAAAAGATGGCTGTCTTATGATGTTTATAGTTTTTTTTTATCATCCTACAGGCTCTGACATGTTAGATAAATTTGAAAATCAGGTTTTGAAAAAATCCGTAAGACTTGAAAAGATCCGTGAGATTGCTCTATACGCCCGTATACCTGCAAAATGACGTAAAATCCTTATAAGTTACGGACAATCCGTACAAGTTGGCATGTATGAGCAGGGTTTGTACATTTTATTATCAGCTGAGCTGTGATGAAAAGAAAAATACCGTCAAATACCGTGAAACCGGTGAAAATKTTGAAAATACTGTGATATAAAATTTTGATCATATCGCCCAGCCCTATCATAGACTTTAACTCAAAACTCTTCTTAAAATCAACGACGGTTGCTTCATGTGGGCTTTCCTAGGCTTCAAATGGCTTGCCATGACAACAGTCAAACAACAACATCTACAGCCAGTTTGTGTCTATTTAAAAACACAGTTTTATTTCCTACCATTGTTAATGATAGCACGCCAACACTCCAAGAAACCGGTATCAGGAATTAATTCATGCAGGAACTTGGAATGTCTCCTCATTAGGATTCCATTCACCCAGAGGAAATAAGGGAAATGAAGTTCATGGGGGGGAGGAGGAAGTGCACAAGAGTGGGCCGCCTTGGCCTGGTAAAGTGTTGTCTCTCTGCCAGCTGCTCCAGCTGTTTAGATTCTGACTTGAGCGTAGCACTGGACTTCCCCTACCCAAGTGAAAGACAAAACCTTTTCCACAGCATGACTCATKCACTGCAGAGAGAAATTGAAATTTACACCAGTCAGCACTAAATCAAACACATCGCAAGAATCAAAGCAGCACTCTCAAGGAGTTGGCATGAAACTCAACGCCCAGCTTGTAAAGTTCTTTCACCATTTCATTTGGACCTGCGCTTTAAAGAGCTGATTATTCAACTAGAGGATTATAGCACCATTATACCTGGGCCAGAGTGAGCAAAGAGGAACTACTTCTATGTATTTAGCACGTGGGGTGGATAAAACCATCTTTAATCACAACCTTCCTAACATTAATTAGGTTCCCACACGTTTAAAATGATTCTGATTTGAAATGTTCTATTTGGATGTTTTGTCTAAAAGAAGGAAAGAATAATTTGTGAGGTCAGCATTAAAAAGTAACTCCACATACTGCAAAATAAAGTACGGTAGGTCATATTAAATAAGATGAGATTTAAAATCTCGATTGCCTAAGACCTTCTTTTATAAAAAGCCCTAAAATATTTAACAATGTTTTAAGGAAAGTAAATTSCCCACAACGTTTTTATGCCAGAATCTTAAACTGTGTCCTTTAGTTGATAAATGACAAAGTCCTTTTGGTTGATTCCAGACAATGACAATGTGCAATCCCAAATTTGGGCTGCCACGATTAATCGATTAATCGACGACTAATCGATTATTAAAATAATCGATGACTAATTTAATAATCGATTAATCGATTTCTTTCTTATTTTTGTTCTTTACTTTTTTTTCTCTCTGAACTGCTTTGACACCTTCCGCTGCCACATCTACCTTTCTGTCCTTGACACACATGCACAGTAG